CATTCTGATCGGATTTTCTCTTCTGTTTTGTTCTGTTTTATATATATATATATATATATATATATATATATGTATATATAAGTTAAATCAATCTGCATACATCGTTGTTTCGTCCTTTAAGGACTCATCAGTGCAGCTCAGATAAATTTGAGATTGAACCTTAGCTATGAAACAAGCAAGCTTGTAACATATATATTATAATATAGAGCTGTAAATAAATTTAATTCAGTATCTAAATATAGTTGTTATTGCAGTGGGAATCCCTACATTCTTTGGTCATAAAATCTTTCAAATGATCAGCCTACTGTACAAACTGTAATTCAGTGTTGGACCAAAACATAACACACAGCTCAATGACTTTGGATACAATTAGGGACTACAATAGATCTATCTAAGTAAGCATATACAGATAAAAGTTTTTGACCAAGATTAGGCCTATCTTAATTAATATTAGTATTTTTAGTAGTTAGGACGGGTGTCTTGAAATGACATTGCTTATTCCATTGTTGGTTCTATTCTACAATGGTAGGCCTATTACCATGTTTAAAAAAAATATGAATTATAAGGTTCATCTTAATAATGACATCAAACATGTAACATGACTATAAAGTATAATAGATCCGTTATTATACTATTAAAAAATAGTGAATGTTTATGAGTGCAATCGGAAGAATATTTATGTTTGATAGATTGACTGTTCCATTCGACAGTTCCATTTCCATGGTGCGTGACGACATGTGGTAAATAACCAATGTCACGTGATACGAAATCCACCAATCAAATGACAAGGATCTATTTAGGCGTGTTACGAAACACATATTTTTATGTATTATCACTATCAATATAATTGCCTATTTTTCACACACATTTTTAATTGAATATTTGCGTGCAACGTCTTATATTAGGTCCATGCACGAATCGTCATTTGCGCACAGTACGTGCATTTAATTGGGGTGCAGGTTACATTTATCATGAATGATTGATCTAAGTTCCAATGAAGTTTTGCATTATGCCTTAATAAACATTATCAAACAAACATTCAATCAACTATAATAATAATAATAATAATAATAATAATAATAATAATAATAATAATAATAATAATAATAATAATAATAATAATAATAATAATAATAATATATGTAAGCAAGTTTATACAGAGTTCATAAAGTTCTTGACCGAAGATTAACCTAATTCGTGTTTTTAGTATTTAGGAGGTGTGTCTTGAAACGATACGCCTATTTCAAAAGGAATGACACTATGTACCTGTTGGTACCGTACTACTTTACAATGTCAAATGGTATTTTCAGTGGAAAAAATGAATTATAAGGTTAATCTTAATAATAACACAGATGCCTCTATACACAAACGACATGGTTTTCATAAGCCATTT